CCCCCCGGGGCAATGCAATCGGCCACAGGAGGGGACCCCCCTCTCCAGTCAACAGAACTGGTTGCAGGGGGGACACACATGCCCTCCCTGACTAAGGTGGCACCAGTTCCCCATGGGCACAGCTGAGGCTGCACCCCCACCCCGACACACACCTAGGCTAGGCAGGGCTGAGGGATGTGTTGCAGGCCAGGTAAAATGCCATGGTGGTCCAGATCCGGCCCATAGGCTGTATTTTGCCCACCCCTGCTCTAAGGGGCCCTGTTAGGTTGCACGCATCCTAGCTTCAGTATAATGACACAGCTTCTACCCTTCTGGGTGGTGATTCAAGGTGCCAGTCTTGTCCCTTGGCAGGTGAGGAAACAACCTTTTCCAAATGTTAAAAGGGTGTCTGGAAGGGTTGAAGGCCTTTGCCTTGGGTGAAATATGTGATGTTATTCTTTTGGGAGAAGTTCCTTCTGAGTGGGAGGTGTTTGGGAAGTATGGAGTTATCTCCCATGTGGGGCATGTAAAGAGGATATTTTGGGGAACTTGTATTACATAGGATGGAGGGTGTAGGTGCAACAAATTTTGAAGATGGACAGTATTCCATTAATACAAAAAGACTGGTAACCGCTGACCTACAACGTTCTGTGCATTTCTCTTTGTTCTCTCTACCAGTGTCTCACTTGAGAGTGTTGTTTTTACTGCCCTGATGTGAATGAGATGGAGATAACTGAGTTTTATTATAGTGTAAAACAGATTCTTCAAGTATTTTAAAAATTGTATCCGTTTTTCATAGGTATGATAATGGTAAGCCTTTACTTTACCACAAAGCGATCGTTTGCAACTGGGATTGTGATGGCTGGAGGGGCAGCAGGAACACTAGTTCAGAATCAGGTGCATCGATATCTAATCAGGACGCTTGGATGGAGAACTAGTCTACGTGTGTTTTGTGGAATTCTGGCAATAGGCATTTTTGCTGGGTTTGCCTACAGACCACTGGAAAAACGTACGCCATCTTTTTTATCTTTTTAGTGAACATCTATTGGATTTTGTTCTTGTATCAGTTATAACAACATCAAATTCTTTTTCCGTAACTGAGTCTTTCACTTTGGCTTTACGTTTTGTTAACAAAACATAAAAGAGGCCCTGGTTCAGAAAAATCAACTGTATGTCTACAAGACTGGACTCTAACAAGTTTACATTTGCTTATTAGTTTAAAATAATACGGTTTATTAAAATAGCCCCAAAAGTTGATTCCAAATAATTTGTTTAAAATAATGCAAGTATGTGCTTTATTTGAATGTACTGAGAACATACTAATTGTGTATTTGCTTTGTTCCATGCCACCAACACATAGTTGTAAACTTGAGTTACCTGGCCACTTAAACGTGATGTAGAACCTTTTTATAATAAAATATTATGTTAAGTCGCTGGTGAATCCAGGCACTCTTTTTTTTTTTTTTTTTTTTTTTTTTTTTACTTAAGATCTTTTAGGCAATTAAAAAAAAACGACTTCTATTTTAAATAATACTAATTTATAAAACAGATAAGGAAATTGGGGAGTCATAACCATAATATCTATTTGTGTCTGTTTCTGATGACTTTGCCAATAAGAGGAGTTTAGTTTCTCTGTCAGTTTTTTCTTTTGCTAGTCCTGGTGGGAAGCTGCTTTGAAACAGGAAAGGTTGTTGTATTTATGTGGTTGATCTTTAGGATTCTAAGCTTGGATTTTTTTTATGGCCCAAAAGCAACTGTGCTTAAAGATTTCATAGACATTAGGGCTGGAAGGGACCTCGGAAGATCATCGAGTCCAGCCCCCTGCCCAAAGGGCAGGAAGTCAGCTGGGGTCATAGGATCCCAGCAAGATAAGCATCCAGTTTCATCTTGAAGGTGTTCAATGAAGGCGCTTGAACCACCTCCGGTGGCAGGCTGTTCCAGACCTTGGGGGCTCGGACAGTAAAGACATTCTTCCTTATGTCCAGCCTGAAACGATCTTGAAGTAGTTTGTGACCATTCGACCTCGTCATCCCTTGGGGCGCTCTGGTGAACAAACGTTCCCCCAGATACTGGTGGTCACCCCTGATAAACTTGTAGGTGGCCATCAGATCACCCCTGAGCCTGCGCTTTTTCAGGCTAAGGAGCCCCAGGGCTCTCAGCCTGTCATCGTAGGGTCTGCTTCCCTGACCTCTGATCATGCGCGTGGCTCTTCTCTGGACTCTCTCAAGCTTCTCCACATCCTTTTTGAATTGTGGAGCCCAAAACTGGACACAGTACTCCAGCTGTGGCCTCACTAAGGCCGAGTACAGGGGGAGAATGACGTCCCGGGATTTGCTTGAGAAGCATCTATGGATGCAAGCCAGCGTTTTGGTCGCTTTACTAGCTGCAGCATCGCACTGCAGGCTCATGTTCATCTTGTGGTCAATGATGACCCCCAAGTCTCTTTCTTGCATAGTGCTAGCCAACATAGCA